CTCTGCCTTGCCCCTGGGCCGTCCGCCCGAGGACTCCATTATGAACTCTGCCTTGCCCCCGGGCCGTCCGCCCGAGAGATCCATCATGGACTCTGCCTTGCCCCTGGGCCGTCCGCCCGAGAGATCCATCATGGACTCTGCCTTGTCCCTGGGTCGTCCGCCCGAGACACCCATCATGGACTGTGCTTTGCCTCTGGGTTGTCGTCCCGGACCCCCTCCACCCACCCTTTTTGGATTTTGGATTTTTTTTGTACGTCTGGAATCCGTCCCTTGAGGGGGGGGTTCTGTCACGATTCTTGTGTTGTGTCACATTTTTAGTTTTGTGTGTCTGGTAGTGGGTGTTTTGCTTTTCTCCTTGTCATGTTTTCCTCCCTGTGTATTGTCTGGTCTTTTCCCCTGTGTTTTCCTGTCGTTAGTTTCCCTGGTGTGTCTAATTTCCTGATTGTTTTCACCTGTCACCCCTTCTGTGTCTCCTGTGCTCATCAGTGTCAGCCCCACCCCTGATTGTTCCCACCTGTGTCTTGTTACCTTGTGTTTGAATTCCCCTGTCTCCCAGTGTTCAGTGTCAGTTCGTTTTTGTCTATGGTCATGGTCAGGTCTATGCTCCTTGTCTTTTGCCTTGGTCAGGTCTATGCTCTTTTGTAAATCGTGAAAACTTTTGTTCCTCACCACGTGAGCGATTTTCTTTTTGTTCTAATTTTTTGTCATCTCATCCTGAGATTAGTTAGTGACCATTTTTTGCTATATTTTGGAAAATAAAGTATCCTACCAATACTTTACATCTGTCTCCCGGGTCGTGCAATTGGGTCCTACCTCCTAAGTGCCTGAGTTTCTAACATTTCTGTAAAGTGCTACGGTAGAAACACAGTGGGAAAAGGTCACAACTACAGAGGTTGTATGTGTCTCTAAACCTTAAAACTAGCAGACCTGTTTATTTTCTGTGGGGCTCGGTAATATATTGATATAATATTAATTTTTGTATATGTCAGTAGATACTGTGTAGTCTTTTCCTGGTTTTAAAGGTGGTAATATAGTAAAGTGATGAATATTTGTTGTCTTTACTAGGGCTGCATGATTGGGAAGAAAATAACTAATTGCAATTATTTTTGACTAATATTGCAATTGCAATAGGATTTTATTGGAGGGAACAATCCTTTGTGCATCATTATTCTCAATATCATTGAAAAATAAATAATAATATGATCAAAGTTTATTCATCAAACATCTCATTCTGTACACATGTTAGGAAAGCACCAATAGTCAAGCCTACAATATTGTTCCAATATCGATATCGGGGTATTTGGTCAAACATATTTGATATAGTAAAAAATGTCCCCGCCCTAGTTGAATCCAGAGTGTTTTTTTAAAAGATATTTTCGGGCCACCAATGCCTTTATTCAAGTGACACTGTTAAAGGGGGGAGACAGAAAGGATTACATGTGACAAATGATCCCAGGCCGGATCCGAACCCGGGTTATCCACTTGGGGAACCATCCCCAGTTCATGGGCCTCAAGTTCTACCAACTGAGCTTTATGATGGCCCAATTCCAGAGTTCAAACAGTTCAAAACTTAGATCCGGCGCACCACCAGAAACATGAAAGGAGAAGTTGCAGTGGTGGGATACTTGATGATGGATGGTGATGTAAGACCAGCCTCGCTGCTCGGAGGCTTTTTCAGTTTTAATAAAGACAAAGCTTCCATGTCCCGCAACCAACCAGCCAGCCACTTTGTCTGATGGAGCGGCAGAGTGAGGAGAGAACAGTGGACCAGGGGTTGATACGGATCAGTGAGGATTAATGATCAGATAACTACAGTACAAACCACAATGCAATCTCTCTGAGTCTTTCTCCCACTGTCACACACAGAGTGTGACACACACTGCCGGAGATGGAGGGAACAAAAGAGGGAAAACAGTGCAGATAGAAATATGACAGGACGGATCAGGGACTAGAGGATGAAGACATGTTTGAAATAGAAGTCGTTGTGTAACAGAGTAGTAGATATGATGTGTTGTTATCATGATAATAACAAGGACAGAAAATTACTCTGAATTTAGTTAATCAATTAATCATCACAGTTATTCATCAGGAAAATAAATGCGAAAAACTCTTAACTTTTGGCATATGTTTAATTTGAATTTGCACTTTACTCAACTGTATTTTTTTAACCCTTTTTATTATTGAATTAACCATTAAAAAGACAAATTATTGACAAATCATAAAGGTCTGTTGGTATAAAGATCACAATGTCCACAACAACCTCTAAACTAGACAAGTATGGATAGGATATCTGGCTAACATATTGTTAAGCAGGATAATTTATGTATTGGGAACAGAGCCGAGGAAGTTATTTTTGACACAGTTGTGAGACCTATGAGCATGACATTTAGTTACCCTTTACCAAAATAACTAGTGCTAAATCATCTAGTTTACATCTCTGAAATTACGGCCTTTTTTACTTGAATTCTAAAACCAAATCTTACTTTGTAACACTTTCTTTTTTATCTCAACAAACTTTCCTTTCGCATCGTCTTCATTTCAGTCACTTGCTCTTGTTTCTCGCTCCTCTTCAATCAGCTGCTCTGTCTTATTATCTTGCTCTCTTTCCATTTCACTGTATCTCTCCAGGTCATGTTTCTCCCCCTAATGTTTTGGAGGGGTCTCAAGTCATGTTACTCTATTTATATCCTACTGCCAAGTGCCTGTTGATCATTGTGGATAAGTTTAGATGAGTGACTCAGAGCTTTTCACTCTTGTGATTCAACATCAAATACTCTCTTATTGCTGATTTCACCAGGACAAGTTGCATTAGTAAGTACATAATGTTTGTTTTGATTTCAAAGCAAAGTTTATTCCAGCTTTAAAAAAACATGTTTGAATTTACAAGGTTGCTGAGGAGACTTGTGAACGATGAAATATTTGGTCTTTGGCAGGGATTAACGACACCTCCGCCAAAATGTTGAGGACATTTTAAGCAGTGAAGCGCTGCTCCCCATGAAATGCTTGTTCCAGAACTTTTTGCTGATGGTCAACACTTCAGCTTCGCGCTGTGTCAGGCCGGCTGCTCTGCCAAAGGCTCACACTGCCCGCTCTGGCAAAAGCATTAGAGCCATGTAGGAAGCCAGATGGAAACAAACAGCTGAACGCCGTGCTCTCTTGACTCTTCTTTTTTCTTTTGAGAGCTCTATTTCCACAATATTGTTAAATGAAGGACACCTTGGGGTAAACTCCCAGAATGCACACTGTTATTCCCCCGGGGAGCTTCTTAGATGTATAGATGAGAGATGGACATGCACCAGCCAATGTGCTTTCATAAATGTTTGTCAAGGAATCATAGTAAAACTAACAGTGTTGTTTTGTGTCTGTGTGTGAGAGTAATTCAGAACGAAGAGTCCTGCTGGAAGGAGTAAAGAGATAAATGACAAATCCACACTTGTGTGACTCGGAGCCGATCCAACGTACACACATCAACAAACACACACTCTTCCTTCTGTCGGCTGCTGTCGGCCAGGGTGTTTGTTAAAAGTCGTGTTGCACTCTTGTGTAACGTTTTATTTCTTGACTGCACTTCTCATCCATGACAGTTAGGCTACTTCCTAATAGACTTAATTCTTAATTAATACAAAATAAAATACAAATTACATATGTAAGGAATTTGATGAGATGTTGTTTTGGGCTCAACTTCTTATAAAACTAAATCACTATAATTTGTTATAGTATTTGTAACCACAGATATGATGTATTTCCATCTCAGTTTTGATTGTGGTTGGTTTGTTTGACCAATAGCCCAAAACCTAAAGAAAAAGATAATGTTTAAAATCTAAGTTTCTGTATGTCTTTCCTTCATATGTATCAACAACTGTACATTTTACTCTACTCTCTTGGTGGGCATTGCTGAGGACCCAAGGAAGTTCAGTGTAGGGTGTGAAATTGTTTGGATGAGTGGTTTAAGATAAAGCTGCAAATAGAAATACCACAAGCCAAACAGTTGGCCATGCAGACACTGTACTTATATAATCATAATACAATATTTAAAGGGGCTGAGAACTGAAACTAGGGAATTTTGGCTTTTCTGCTTGATAAATGACCTAATTTAACAAATCTGCTTGCGGATTTATTCATTAACTAATCAATTATTCCAGCATTAGTGTTGTTAGTGCTGAGAACAGTGACATCACTATGTAACACTCGCGTTTCTATTGGCTAGCACTCCAACACATTGTGCATGATAGGCTAAGAGGCGGGACATCTCTAATAAGCGGTTGACCAATCACAACAGAGCTGGCCAGCTAACCAATCAGAGCAGACTGGGCTCTGGTTTTAGACAGAGGGTGAAAAGAGGTGCTGCAGCACAGGCAGTATGAGAAAAATAAAGAGCTTTTGAACATTAAAGCATGGAGACATGTCGCAGTAGAGACAATACATACTGATATGAAACCTGAAAATTATCATAATATGTAATCTTTTAAAAAACAACATCAACAAGAGATCAGATAATTAAAAACTATAAATGTATATTTCACAGTACTTGTAAGGCAAGGCAAGGCAATTTTATTTATATAGCACTTTTCAGCACGTGGCGATTCAAAGTGCTTCACAGATTAAGACATTTAAGAACAAATACAGCATAAATACATTATTAAAAAGGCATTTAAAAACAGGCATAATAAGCAAAGGTAATGAAATAAATTAAATAATAAACACAGCAGCAGGTACAGAATACATGACTAAAAAGGCATACTGTAGTGTGAGTATGGGCAGCTCAATTAAAAGCAAGTCTCCATTGAACAAAAGCATGGTTTTGATTTATTGTAAGGTCTGAAATTGTGGATGACAACGTGTAATAACTATAAGTGCTGTTATATTCCATAATAATAATAATAATAATAGGAGTTGTAAAACTCATCACCAAGGCTACACAGTGTGATTTAACCCCGTTTTTTTTCTCTCTCCACCTGTATTGCTATTTATAACTCTACATATATCTCTCTCTCCGTCAGTGTGTGGGGGAGGAGATCTGGGTGGACAGTCGGACGGTGTACATCGGCCATAAAGAGCCTCCTCCGGGAGCTGAGGCCTACATCCCTCAGCGTTACCCCGACAACCGCATCGTCTCCTCCAAGGTGAGCGAGCCTCAGCCCCCCCGAGTCACAGCCGAAGCATTGTTCATCATCATGCCGCTCCTTCCTCTTATATTGAGACAACCATCTAATCTCTTTTGTGGCCATGTTTTTAAGGATGACACATTTCACTTCGCTAGTTTTTCGTCAAGCTGTGCGTCACCGTTTCTCTCGTGCTGTTGTTTTTCCTTTTTCTGTTTTTTTATATTATGTGCGTGAGAATAACTCTGTCGCTCTGTCCCACAGTACACCTTCTGGAACTTCATCCCAAGAATTTATTCGAGCAGTTCAGAAGAATCGCTAACTTCTACTTCTTGGTTATATTTCTGGTCCAGGTGAGATTTTCATTAAAACCAGTGATCATTTTTCCAACTCATTTTATTCAACCTTAGAACACAAAGGAAATACTCTCCCAGCTGTCCATTAGTTAAAGACAAACTATCCAACAATGTATTACTAGTTCTATTTTATGCATTCATTTTCTGAATACCTACCTTTTTTAATGGCCTACTTAAAAATGAAAGTGCATGGCTTAGCATCAGGATATATTAATGGCAGCTGGAGGCATTTGACAGCTGAACATAGCCCCATTGTTGATACGTTAATGTTCAAATGTACATTAGGTTGCTGATGTTTTTGAAAGACTCTTCTCATAATTGAGAAGCAGGTTTCAATTGATTTGGCACAAAACTGCAAACTCTAGCTGGTGCACAGTGACTTACTTATTATTGGGTCTGGGAAACCAAAAAACCTGGTAAAAACATTTTTACACTGCAGATTATTTGCTGAAGTTTGCTTGAATTGACTTGGAACATCAATCTCTGTACCAAAATGCATAGCAGTTCATCCAATAATACTGCACCGTCATTTGTGAAGTCCGTTAGTGAAACTTTATCATAGTTTCTCAAAGAAAGACATTTTCCTCACATACAACCACATTTAACCGGTTTCTTAGACGGTTACAATCACATGCATTAACTAATCACATGACATCAGTTCAAACCATGTTTTCATTGCTTTTTGATGACCAGTTAAATCCTGCACCAGTGTTTAAGGTTACAAATGATTACAAGAATAACTTGAAGTTGCTAACATCATATTATGCTGAAGATGAGTGCTGTACTACCCAGTGTGTGTCTTTCTAAATTACAATCAAAGAGAAGCAGCTTATTTCCTTGAGCCACTATATTGCACCAAATGCTGAATACAAGGACAAACTCATCACAGAGGAGAAGGATAGAACAATTTATTTACCAGCATCACCTTGATAAACCACACTGCAACACAGCCAGAGCTTAAGTCTTTATTGCTGTGTGTTTTATCAGTAACATGTGAAATACTGCACTTTCCAAATGGGTCAAACTGGGCATGGCACATAGCAGCGATGTTTCTCCTCTTTGTTTTAGTCGACTGAAAGCTGCTACTTTGCTTTTATTACTTTCTAGAAATGTCTCTAAAAGTAGTGGGAACAAATGACAAGTTAACTATCCCAGAATGGATATTTCCTGTTAGAACAGATGGAGCATATCAAGCCAGATTTGATTACTTGGAGACATAAACGCTGCCAGATTGGTGCTTGATTCCTTATTACAGAAGCGTTTATAAGTCCTGCTGTACTTTCTTACTCAATGTTGCATTACTTGGCATCCTCTATGTTGTCCCCGCTTCATCTTCATCCCCTGCACCTTCCTCACACTCTTCCTCTCTCTTTGCAGCTCATCATCGACACCCCCACCAGCCCAGTCACCAGCGGCCTGCCCCTCTTCTTCGTTATCACCGTCACCGCAATAAAACAGGTAGGACACACACCAACACGCACAGAACCCCGCTCACACACACACCAACTTGCACACACACACACTCTACGAACCGGCTGCTCTATTATCTGTATATACACATTCCTCTCTCAGTGAAAGGACATGCCATTGAATGTGTCTGGTGATGTGAGAAATATGATAATGAATGGTCTCCTCTGTTAATCACTTGAGCCCCCAGGAGAAGCATCCTCTCTACCGAGCTCCGCTTCTGATGGGGAAGTATCAGTGATAGATAGAGCTGTTCTGGCTAAGGAAGCCTGAGCTTTACTTGGACATAAATCTAAGAAAACTTGACATTTGGCGAGAAATCCAGAAAACGGGTCAAGCTCAGGGAGCACAATGCTAATTAATTACAGCGCATGACTCTCACCTCTTCCGCTCTGTCTCTTGATCTCATACTACGCACAATAATCTATACTCTCTGCTTCCCCCATTGCCAACAAACACTTTGGCTTTCCCTTCCTTTTTCCTTACGATCTACATTACGATTACATTAATGCACATCATGTGACCGTGATCTTTTAATACTGTGAGCCATGTTCATCTCCCCGAACATTTTGCACTTCTCTGCACACATTTATACACAGCCCTCCACTTTAAAATACAACACATTGCAGTTTGTCATATATTGTCATATATTCATTGTACTAAGTTTTTTTTGTTTCAATACTTGATTTGTATAATCGTTATATTTTTGACCTTCTGTTACAACCTATTTTCTTATGTGGTTCATGTTTGTACCGTCATAAACCAAAGAAAATGATTTGTATGTGTAAGCGTACCTGGCAATAAACTTGATTCTGATTCTGATCTCCCTCTTTCTCCCTCTTTCTCCCTCTCTCTCTCTCTCTCTCTCAGGGCTACGAGGACTGGCTCCGACACAAGGCTGACTGCTCTATAAACGAGTGTCCGGTGGACGTGGTGCAGCAGGGGAAGGTGGTGAGGACTCAAAGTCACAAGCTACGGGTAAGAATGGCCTCATTAGAGCAGTGTAGCACCTGAGGCTAAAAAGCAACGCTACAGTGCTGCTTCATAGCCCACTTTTTAAAAACTCTCAACTCCCCCCTTTCTCTTTCTAGCCGCAGCCCTCTCTAACTTTGTTCCCTTCCTCTCTGGCCTCTCGCTTGTCTTTCCCACCAATTAATTGCCATGAAACTGTAGTAGAGGAACAATTATAGTGTCCCCTTGTGCACCGTACGGGAAGCCCCTTTGGCAGGTTCCCAGGACTGATGTATTTCATGAGAGAGGATATTCCTGTCATCATCCTGTGACGCTCTCTTATGTCAGTCTGATGCAACTCTTTGGTATCAGTCTCATTCTAGAAAGTGGCTTATAATCCATCAGACTTATATAATATCAAAACCCATGTTCGATTCTATTTAGGATCCGCATTTTCTGCAATAGCATCGACTATACCTTGCCGTATTTTGCTTTAAAATAGTACGTTTAAATGGTTTCCTATGTTTAATTGCATACCCACGCATGACAGATTTGATGTAATACAGATATTTGATCCTGAGTTCAGTATTACTGTTTCAGGAGACACTGTTAAGTCTCCTTTATTCACACAAACGACCCCCCCCGCCTCCACATCTTTTTACTTCTCCTGCTGCTGACATGGAAATCGATCTCAACGCTCCAACTTATGATCCAATTCCTAAAATACACTTAGAGTAGTGTTTTCGTAGTGCCTCGTAAGACAACACTCTAGCCACGTTCATTGATGACATTGGATACAACTTGTGTTTCTATCTTTACACATAATTCAATTGCTATGACTGTTACACGATGCTTTGCGCAAACAGCTGCTAACATAGGTATACAAAATATCCAACAGTAATAAACACATGATTAAAATGAGCACCACTTTTACCAGCTGCATTAAACACATTAATGGATTTATAATCATAATCCAGTAACTCGTATGATTCTAAATTGGGCCTATATGCTTACCGAACACTGTTGCTTTTGGTACTTTGTAGTTTATTTGATGCCAATACTTGTAATACTTGTGTACTTTTACTTAAGAAAGATTTTCAATGTTGTTATTCTCTCAATTTGGTGTTGCTACTTTAAGGAAAAGATCTGAGTTCTCAGCACAATACAGCAGCATGAATAGTGTGCTATAACAGAGTAAGACGCCCATTCATACTATTTTCTTAATTCAGTACTCCTACAGTATTTATGGAAGCAGATTAATATTTCTTGAGGAAAAACAGGAAGCAGCTTCACTGAGCTGCATATTACTCTGCAGATATGTATCTCATGTCAGCGCAGCGTGAATAAAGCGGAGGTGTCAGAGAACATGGCGGGAGTGTCGAGCTCAGCAGCTCCTATGTAGATGTTTAGATTGTACGCTGTATCTCAGTCTGCCTTCAGCATTGTGTGGAGGGTATTTAATGAGTGCAGGTACATGTAATTCTGCTGCGTCTGCTTCTCCTGTCGAGCGTGCACAGAGTGTGTGGGATGTTGAGGGTCAGAGTAGAATAAAGCACCCTGCTTTAAAGGCTACAGAGTCTGATCGTATGTGTTGCCGTAGCAGCAGAGGTGGACAAATTAGTAATACAGTAGTGTAGGTCTCTATGTCTCTCTGTCTTTGTTGGGATCCCTTTTAGCACTAGCATAAGCATGGGCTATTATTTCTGGGGTCCACACACATACGGTCAAACACACAGCTGCACACTATAGCCACATACATACAACACACATAAACAAAGCAAATCATCTCATGTTATTAACAATCAAGTACGGAAGTGAAACACAAATGATCATACTATCAACCATTATTAAGCCAAACACATCATTAACAATCCAGAACAAAAAAAGAATTACTCATGGCAAAGTCCTTGTCTGAAATGATCTTACAAATAGATATACAAACATCATTTTAGTCCTGTTTAAGTTTAAGTCCTGCATTCATTTATTTATTTACTTGTTTATTAATGTATGTATTTATTCATTTATATATTTAAGTACAAAGTTATTAGCATTATTTTATAATTTGAGTAGCAGAACAAAACATACTCATTATAAAGAATGGCCAGTAGGGATTCCTTTATGTGTACATTATTTTTATTTTGCAGCAGTAAAGCTGGAGATAACTTCAATGAGTTAGTTAGTCGCCAGGCATCTTAACCCATAAAAGCACATCATAATTCATTATTGGTTTATATTTTTGTATGAATAAAACTTACCTGCAAAGTAGCTTTTGTTGACAAATTAATGTCCAGGAGCCAAAAGTACAATATTTGCTTCCAAATTGAAGCAGAGTGGAGAATAACATAGAAATATACAAGAAAAAGTACCTCACATTTGTACAGAAATTAGGTACTTGAGTAAGTGTACTGTGCTTAAGAGCAGTGTTCACTTCATGCCATTAGTGGGGAAAGACATTTGTCATCAGAAAACAGAAACTCGCTCTGTCTCCCTTTGTGTGTCTTGCAGCGTTCTCCGTACCAAGGTTCCTCTCTCCTGTAGATCAAACAGAGAGGATTAGAGTGTGAATCGGGAGCAGGAATAATGATGAATATATTAATCATGCAAAATCAGAGAGAGCGTGTGTCATGTGTATGGTCAGCGTGGAGATGGGATTTATTAGAGCTTAAGCTGCTCCACTCGCATAATCCGTTATGCAACTTCTCAATCCTTTGGGGGAAAAAAAAAAAGGAATGGTAAAGGATGAGCAGACGTTTCCCCTCAGGTCTGTCTGTCTGTCTTTCACTGTGTTTATCTGAGGCTCTCGTCATAATACTCATTTATTATTTATGTGAAAGCCATTAATGTGTGTCCTCCTGTGTGTGTCCTGCTGTCAGGTGGGGGACATCGTGGTGGTGAGGGAGGACGAGACTTTCCCCTGCGACCTCATCCTGCTCTCCTCCATCCGCCATGACGGGACCTGCTACGTCACCACTGCCAGTCTGGACGGGGAGTCCAGTCACAAGGTGCTCCCATCAGGGGGGGATTTAATATGATGCTACTTGATTCAAAACTTTATCTCAAAACAGGAAAGCATTGGGATTTAGTAGGTCTTTAAAACATGTCTTTGCTCATTTAAAAGCCATTTGGTGGCCCATGTACTGGGATTAGCCATGGTTCGAATCCAACCCAGTAACCAATCCACACGTTATCCAGTCTTCCCCCCCCCCTTTTAACTCTGGCCCAAAAATGAACCTCAAATAAAAATGTCCAATTCCCTTTCCAGTTTACATTATTGATTGATTACATTTATTTGATGTGTTTGATGATTTAAACAACTAATGTAGCACTGCAGTCAGTATATTGCATAAACTGAATATCTCTGATTTTAGTCAGAATCTCGTCACAAAGTGTAAAGAGTAGTTCAGGATTTTTGATTTTGTAATATTTTACTGGATTTGAAACTGAGTATCTTTGATCCCAAAACAGGATCATTGGGATTCAGTAGGTCTTTAGGTGATATGTAAGCCAAATTAGGCAAGTGAAATAATAAATATCAAACACTTCCCGTTTCTCAAAATCTAAGAATTTGGTGATTGATTGAAAAAACACAAATAACTATCTTTGTTTTTTCAACTGTCTCAGACAATTTGAAGCCATTGCTTGATTTTTTTTCACTCATTTCGACAACTTTTTGAGAACAATCATTCAAGATGATCATGCGCAGATTTATTGATTTGAAAAATAATCAACACATGAACACAGACACAGAAATGCACAATGACATAAGTGACACATGTGGCATTTCATATTTGCGCTTCTACTCTGATGTTCATCGCTGTCACTCACACGCATGGCTTAGCACACACACACACTCACACATATATTCGTATCCCAGAGCGTATGGTGGAGTACTACAGCCTTTCTCCTCACACTCACCCTCGGGTCGACCCCCTGATGAGCGCCCCCCCCTCCCCCCGCCATGCTGTTCTCTGCTCACCTCCCCGCCTCGCTCAGTCGTTTAGAAAATCTGCCAGAAGCCGTATTGCGGTCGCCAGATGAACCCTGCTCTCATTAGTGGCTGTGGGTGACATTTCCCTCTGTTGTCTTCTTCTTCCCCCTTCCTCCACCCTCCTATCTCAGACCTATTATGCTGTACAAGATACCCTGGCCTTTAGAACGGAGCAGGAGGTGGACTCGCTACACGCCACCATCGAATGTGAACAACCACAGCCTGACCTCTACAAGTGAGTGTGACACCAATCACTGATGCATCACACTTTTTGTCATTTACTTTATCTTGTATTACTTTTTGTTTGCATTACTGTCTGGGTTTTATTATGTGTTTCTTTATTTTCTGTGTGTATTGAATGTGTTCTGTTTGAATGGAAAGCACTTTGTTATTATGTTTGAAAGGTGCTATATAAATAAGGATTATTCTTATCTTTAGTCGTATTAAAGTAGTAGTATTTATTTAATATTATTTTTGTATAATGCACAACTGTTTCTTGTCTTATTTTCATTGTACTGTGATTTTTGTTCCTCTTGCAGATTTGTGGGACGCATTAATATTTACAAGGACAAAGAAGAGCCAGTGGCTAGGTGAGTGTGCCTAGAAAGGTTATTTATTTGTATTTGTTGGTGTAACGCTTATTGACAAGGCCAACTGTCTTTCTCAATTCATCAAATGCATTTATTGTTTTTTATCAATGAAAACATTCTGTTTCTTTCCTGCAGACCACTTGGGGCTGAGAATTTGCTCCTTAGAGGAGCCACACTGAAGAACACACAACATATTTATGGTAACAAGTACTGTTTAATATCTCTTTAATAATGTTTGAGCTATGAGGCTGATATCAATCTCTTCTTCATAACCTCTTTGTTATCTCCCCTCAGCTGTTGCAGTCTACACTGGCATGGAGACTAAGATGGCGCTTAATTATCAGTCTAAATCTCAGAAGCGCTCCGCTGTAGAAAAGTATGATCCACGTCCACACTCTTCAATTTAATAGTATGGTTTATACATTTACTGTTCCCTCCTCCTGATCTGTGCCCTCTCTCTCTGCAGGTCGATGAATGCCTTCCTCATAGTGTACCTGTTCATCTTGATCAGTAAAGCGGTCATCAACACGGTTCTGAAATACGCCTGGCAGTGGTCTCCAGACAGAGACGAGCCCTGGTACAACCACAGGACGGAGAACGAGCGCCAGCGACATGTGGTGCGTACACCAACATCACATATTTTTTATTTATTTGTTGTACAGGCAAGAGATAAACATATATTGTAAATTACACAACAGTATGATGAGAGGACAATACCTACTCACACAAAATACAAGTAAATAAATAAATGAAAGAGACAAAACAAAGTTAACAGGATATCTTCAACATTTCAAATTACTAGGTCGACAGTACAATACACCAAAGAATCAAAAACTCATGACATGCAGAACATATGTATTCTTCAACATTATCACACTCTCTCTTAAAGCTAATTGTGTACCATTTCATGTTGTGTTGTCACCTTTTAATAGTCTGAAAAAAAAAATGGTCTCTACAATGAATTATAACAAAGTAATTTCCCCCTTTCCCTCCTTACTCCAGGTGATCCGAGCCTTCACAGACTTCCTGGCCTTCATGGTCTTATTTAACTACATCATCCCAGTGTCTATGTACGTGACGGTAGAGATGCAAAAATTCCTGGGCTCCTATTTCATCACCTGGGATGAGGAAATGTTCGACGAGGAGCTGGGAGAGGGGGCTCAGGTCAACACCTCGGACCTGAACGAGGAGCTGGGACAGGTACATGAGACGCAGACGTTAGCAAACAGTATCTGCATGTAAACTATTTAAAGACACACTCTTATCCTACCCTCTTCCTTCCCTCCCAGGTGGAGTATGTGTTCACTGATAAGACAGGCACTCTCACGGAGAACAACATGGAGTTTATTGAGTGCTGCGTAGATGGGAACGTCTACATCCCACATGCCATCTGCAACGGCCAAATCCTCAGCGCTGCTTCCAGTATAGACATGATTGACTCCTCGCCTGGAGGATACAGGAGAGTAAGTGTGTGTGTGTGTGTGTGTGACAAAGTAAACAGGCTTCTTAATCCAGCCTGAATAGACTCTTGGCTGAGCTAACTCAAATAGAGATGGAGAGTAAAGAAAAAGCTTCACATATTTGAGTTTAAAGTGAGTAAGACGCTTGTAGATTAACTAACATGTCACATTTTCAGGCAGGAGTACAAACAAATGTCTGTTTTGCTGATAAACACAGAAGGGATGCGGCGTGCACATCCATTTTATAACCTCTTTGTAAACCGTAAGCGTTTGCTGTGTCTTACACGGAGAAGAAATCCTCTGGTGCACAGAAAAGTGATGAGCCTTGCATTTCTGCCTGTAGCAACAGTGATTTGTTTAGATTTAATAGGAGGAGAATTGTGTAGTCAGCACGAGCAGCAGAAGCCACCACAGATGACCAGAGAGAGAGAAAAGAGCGCCCTGCGAAAATTAAAATTACAAAACTAGGGCCAACAGGGTGGGTGGAGGGGGTCTGGAGGACGGGCTTGGGCTGACAGCCCAGGGGCACAGCGGAGCTCAAGGATGGGGTCTCGGGCGGACGGCCCGGGGGCAAGGCAGAGTTCAAAAAGGGGAACTCGGGCGGACGGCCCGGGGGCAAGGCAGAGTCCAAGGTGGGGCAAAGGCCACAGCGGGCGAACTCAGTGGGCCGAGCATGAGGGCGAAGGCAGTGGCAGGAAGAGTCAGGGGGCCGGGCCCGAGGGCGAGGACCGCGGCACTCAGGGGGCCGGGCTCGAGGGCGAAGACCGCGGCTCTCAGGGGGCCGGGCTCGAGGGCGAAGACCGCGGCTCTCAGGGGGCCGGGCTCGAGAGCGAAGACCGCGGCTCTCAGGGGGCTGGGCTCAAGGGACGAAGACCAGACAGCTCCGGAGGCCGGGCAGGAAGGCGCTGACGGGACAGCGCCGGAGGCCGGGCAGGACCCGGTGTCGGCCGGACAGGAACCGGAGCTGGTGGGACAGGCCTCGGCTGGATCCCCCACGGAAGAGGACCAGGAGTTGGCAGGACCCCCGGCAGGAGAGCAGTCAGCGGGACCCCCAACGGGACAGGACACGGGATTGGCAGGACCCCCGGCAGAAGCGCAGTCGGCGGGACCCCCAACGGGACAGGACATAGGGTTGGCAGGACCCCCGGCAGGAGAGTAGTCGACGGGACCCCCAACGGGACAAGACATGGAGTTGGCAGGACCCCCAGCGGAACCTCCAACGGCACTTCAGTAGGGACTTGAATTGGGACAGGAACTTGAGTTGGGACTGGAGAGGGAACTCGAGAGGGAACTCGAGAGGGGACTGGAGAGGGGACTCGAGAGGGGGCTCGAGAGTGGACTCGAGAGGGGACTCGAGAGGGGACTTGAGAGGGAACTCGAGAGATCACTTGAGAGGGGACTCGAGAGGAAACTGGAGAGGGGACTTGAGAAGAAACTGGAGAGGGGACTCGAGAGGGAACTTGAGATGGGACTAGAGTTGGGATTTGAGAAGGGACTAGAGAAGTGACTAGAGGTGGGACTAGAGAAGGGACTAGATAAGTGACCTGAGGAGGGACTAGGGAAGGGACTTGGGAAGGGACTAGAGGGGGAATTCGAGAAGAGACTAGAGAGGGGACCAGAGAAGGGACTAGAGAAGGGACTTGAGTTAGGACTCGAGAAAATACTAGAGAAGGGACCAGAGATGGGACTATGGCTGCTGGGGCCAGAACTATGTCTGGAACCATGGCTGCTGGGGCCAGAACTATGTCTGGAACCATGGCTGCTGGGGCCAGAACTAAGTCTGGAACCATGGCTGCTGGGGCCAGAACTTGGGCCGGAACCATGGATCTTTGGGCTCGGGCTGCTAACCTGGCCTTGCGACTCTTTCCTTTAGGAGCCGTTTGGAGGCTCCTAAAATTACCTACCCCACCTTTAATATATATATATATACTGTATATATTATTTATTTTTTATGCATGCTACGTAGGTAACATTAAGCTGTCTTTGGCTCTTTTCTGCTGTAACAATGTAACTTTCCCCTCTGGTGTTTCTGATTTGCAATTTTATATTTCTTTTTAATGATGCATCTTGGACTGAAGCCTTGGATTCCTAAAAGTAAAAAAGCTGCAGAGGATTACTGTTTAATGTACGGCTTTGTGTCTGCAGGAACACGAGGATCTGTTTTTCCGGGCGCTGTGTCTGTGTCACACAGTGCAGGTGAAGGAGGAGGAGACGGTGGAGAGCATCAAGAGGGGCATCCACCAGGGCCGGCCCACCTCCTTCTACATCTCCTCCTCTCCGGATGAGGTGGCGTTGGTGGAGGGAATGAAAAGGTAAACACACTAAAACCATCTGCTTCACACGTTTTCAAAGCTATTTCTGGTCAGGATGTGACCCGAGGCACATGTACAGTAAGACACGCGGTGCAACATGTCAAATCACAGTTTGTTGATCTGCCCTATTGCTTTCACAGATGTAGTAAGTGTATGAGCTGTGATCAGGTTACACTCAATGCGTCACAACACCTTTGAATGTGAGTAAAGTGTATATTGATACTCAGATCTAAATGAATAATTTCTCCCTTTCCCCTCACTCTCGTTGCCAGGCTGGGTTACACCTATCTGAGACTGAAAGACAACTACATGGAGATCCTGAACAAAGACGATGAGATTGAAAGGTTGGTCCTTTAAAGGTCTGCTGTGGTGACACCGCTGGAGATGAAGTGGGAGTAATTCATTTGATGGAGTTGTGGTCATACATCAGCCGCCTGGAGAGAAAGGGCTCTCAGATTGTGTTACATGTTCAACAGAGCTCACAGAAAAGAAACTACAACCATAAAAGAGTGAGCAGACGGTTGTTTTTAGGAACTGCTCAATCAGATCAAAATGCTCCGACTGATGTTGAAGAATGAAAGGCAGCGAGATCCCATTAGAGAGTGGTTTTTGTGGAAAGTGTGTTTTGATCCATAGGGAGTGCTCATGTAAGCAGCTCTCTCTCCATCACTCTCTGCAGTGGCCTGTCAATACTGAGCTATTTTAAGGAAGCAGGGGAGCTGAGAGGGGAGAGGGCCGAGGGGTGGGTGGGTGAGGGGGGGGGGGGGGGGCACCCAGCAGATGCGAAGACTTTGGCAAAAGGTTACATTCTCACATGTGCTGTTTTTAAGCAATTAAAATGAAATGTACATTTTTTGGACCTTTTATACAAACTGGGCTAGACATGTTTTAAACAGCAGGGTCATGCGATGTGCTTTAAAGGGAGATAAAGGTACAGCAAAGGTAAAAGAGTTATAATTAAAAGTATAAAACAGGGTTCTTACGGTCATTAAAAACCTGGAAAAGTCATGGAAATTCAAAATGCTAATTCCAGGCCCTGGAAAAGTTATGGAAAACAATATTTTTCCCAAAGTTTTGGAAAAGTCATGGAAATGTAACTAAAGTTGCATAAAATATAATGTATATGTTATCTAATCGCCGAAATAGTAATACTATAATGATAATACATACTGTATGGTATAGTAATGAAACGTAAAATGGCATTTAACTGTTGAGGTGTTTTGCTGGTGAGAGATTTTAGTTGCTTTAGCGTGTAGGAGCTAGTAAGCCTACTATTTGATTTGTTTTGGATAGGCACAACATGTTTCATATGCAGACCTTATTTTCCTGTTCCATGTTAAAATAAACCATTTTCAGTGGTACCGCTGAGAAAGAGTCATTTATTTGGTCATGGAAAATTAGCTAAAGGTCATGGAGAAGTCATGGAAAAGTCATTGAAAATCATTGGTGAAAAAGTGTATGAACCCTGATAAAAGTACAGGCAAGTGAAACAAGATTGCAAAGTAAACAATTGCAGTTAAAATAGGAATCATAAAAAAAAGACCACAGAAAATCCTCCTACATTTAGAACCACAATTAAATAAGATTGAATAAATACGATTTTTGTGTCCAAAAAAGTTACCTAAATGACATGTAAACTGAGGAACAAACAAATCATAGAGAGTAGGAACTTACCAAAAATGTACAACCTGTTAAAAAGGCCCTGGTCCAATTCACAAAAAAAGGATAGTGTGCGAGGACATCAAAGCTGCCCTGAAGTGGATTTATCCAATTCTATTCACAAGACCTTGAAGAAACAAAAAAAGAAGATGAATACAAATCTGAAAAGATATCACAAAGGTAACAAAGAGTACCCATTTCATGCCAACACTGTCTCTCCTTCAGGTTTGAGCTGCTCCATGTGTTGAACTTTGACTCTGTCAGGAGGAGAATGAGCGTCATAGTCAAGTCCAGCGCAGGTAAAATACACTCTTTCTACTTACATTTTATAAATCCATGATTGGATACTTGATTTCTTTTGCAGTTATTTGAACCTGTGTTTTGTGTTGGTTGTATCTCAGGAGAATACCTGCTGTTTTGTAAGGGGGCAGACTCGTCCATTTTTCCCCGAATCGTGTCTGGGAAGGTGGAGCAGGTGAAAGCCCGGGTGGAGCTGAATGCTGTCGTAAGTGCACAGTTTAACCAATACAGTATATAATGAGATTTACGACACATTGTTTCAGGCCTAGTTATTCAGGGTGTCCGCAGGGTCTTAAAAAGTATTAAAAGTTGATAAATCAATTTAGCGAAAATTAAGACTATTACAAATATTAAACGGCATTTTCCAAGGTATTACATTTTGTAGCTTGTTTTCAATAAGTGTATCAATTGTCCAAATAGGTTGTATTCTACAGTCTGCCTGAATGTAATCATTGCGTAGGTGTGTAGTGTGATTCTGTGTAGTTTATTTATGGCATCCCGTTGGGTTTGACGTCATCTGAACAGGACATCGCACGCTCACTGACTGATTGCGCTCGAAGGTCCGTTTACGCCGGTTGTTAAACAACATCGTTATGGGGAAATGCAAGTTTGCGTCCAAATGGTTGGAAGATAAGGAGGAAGGACAATCAATACTATATATAGCAGTGGCGAGCCGTGAGTTTTATACCTAGGCCATTTATATAAACACCTATCATGACAGGGCACCCACAGCCAAGTAGCGATTACAAATGAATTAAGTCGGCACGGCGGCCCACATTGAAAATGACTTAGGCCTACCTTTGATGATCAAATCACTCAAACACAAAGTCCATCCTCCTGTCATTTTGGATGAAGCACTTGATGGCGGGTCATTCAGCTGATCCTTTGCCACTCCAGTTTATCATTGTAACTCAATCTTGAAAATGACTCGGTTAATAATTTCGCAACGATGTCATCACTATCACTGAAGTGAGCCATCATGAACGAACTTATGCTAATCATAAATCTATCGATCATAAATCTATCGATTAGATTTATGATTCAAAAATAGTAAAAGTAGGATAGACATGTGGATATTATCCGGCTGAACACAACGTGCATTTATCTAACAGGTTCGTTTTCCACAGACCTTATTTCGAGCTATTTTCCAAAACCCTATGGAGAAATCCCGTTGCTTTCTGTCGAGGGAATCCGAGCGCAGCTTACTTCCGGGTTTTAGGACGTGTCACTGCACCACTTGCATAGACCTCACAGCGGGCGGAACTTGTCATAAAGTCCGCGAAAATAAAGCCCGCCCATTTAGAGGGAAGATATGATTGGTCAATTGTACTGTCATTTGACATTACTCTCTCATTGTTTTACTATAGCGGGCCCTCTGTGAATGTAGAGAGGGACCAACAAGCCCTCCCGTCTTCACATAACTCGCAGAGACGGCATTTAACCCTTCACATTCCAACAGAAACTGAACAGGCAGATTCGAAGGATTTATTTCTTTGGAAATATTATTTTAAATACAATTAAATCAAGTTATTTTGGGTAAAACTAATGAAAAATGTAACAACAACAACAACAACAACAACAAAAAAGATTTTTTTTTTTTTTTTTAATGTTTTCAAATATTATTTTTTAGAATATCTTAGGCCCTCACAGAGGGCCTAGAGGGCCCTGACGGCTCGCCACTGGTATATAGTCAATGTGAGGTGAAGTGTGTCACCAAGGTAACCGGTTAGAACTCAAAGTGGCGATGAGGTCTTAAAATGTATGGAAAGGGTCTTAAAAAAGGTCTTGAAAGGTATTACATTTGACTTCAGGATTCCTGCATATACCCTGTTATTAGAATCAGAATCAACCTTTATTAGTCCCACAGCGGGGACATTTACAGTGTTACAGCAAAAGTGGCATAGCAGGTAAAATACATGCAATATTAAAAAAGAAAAGCACATTTTATTATCAGAATCAGAAACAGTTTTATTACCAGGTAGGTTTACACATACGAGGAATTTGACTTGACGTCATGGTGCGTACATAAAACATGAATTAAAAACACAGGTGGGGAACTAGAAACAAATGTTAAAAATAATAAAAAATACAATAAAAATATAGTAACATATAACAGTATTTACATTGCAATGGAATGGAAGGAAAAAAGGAATAAAATATGATTATTATTAATAAAGTCCAAATAAAGACAAATAAGTAAACACAACCATGGCTAAACAATTAGTAGCATCAATTTAAGTAAAACTAAGTGACATAAATGACAAAATAAAGTAGTTAAAGGTCATGAATGCATCCTTATATAAAGACCCTGCATCTTTTTCTTATTCTCTGAAACGCAGGAGGGTCTGCGGACTCTGTGTGTCGCCTATCGAAGGCTCTCAGAGTCCGACTACCAGGAGGCGTGTCTTCACCTGAACGAAGCCAAGCTGGCCCTGCAGGACAGGGAGCAGAGGCTGGCGCAGGCCTATGACATCATCGAGAGGGACTTTGTGCTTCTGGGCGCTACAGCAGTGGAGGACAGGTTGGTCGCCAGAGAGAAAAGGAGAGGGAGGGGGGAGAGAGATGGAAATAGAGGGAGAGGAGGGGGAAGATTTAAAAACAGTGCAGCAGCAGGGGAACAGAAGGGGAAGATTAATGAGTCATGAAGCCGTCTTCAAAGTATAGTAATGACTCATGAGGGCGAAAAAAGATCAAGGCAGTGTTGAATGTAGACGCGTTTCGGCTCTTACAAGGTAGACTTCAGGGTAGTGTTCCCTAGCTCAGGGGTTCCCAAACTTTGCCATGCCAAGGACCCCATATAGCATTATCGTCTGGCGGGGACCCCCCTGTTGCAATTTTTCTTTTAAATAATCAGTACATTATGATGGATAATATGACAAATTAATCATACAGATTAATACATTTTCTTAATATATATTTGTATTAATAATTAATAATCAGTTATTCTTCTAAAATGTTTTGTATTTATCTTTTGTTTGTCATTTATTACATTCATTGTGTCTTCTGTTATAAACATTCTTAACACAATATTAAACAGTAATATCAACAGTAAACATATTTTTAAAGCATTTTTAAAGTGATTTCTGTCTTTATAATATTATATAATTTTGAACAGTAATATGAACAATTAACATATATTTTTAGCATTTTTGAAAGCTACTTATGCCTTAATAATATTATATATAATATTCAACAGTAATATTAACAATAAACATATTTATATTCATATATATAAACATCAATATTTGCTACATCCATGCTCTCATCCAGCTGCAGAGCGAAATATTCACTAGCTCTCACTTGCTCCAAAAGCTGAGCAGATACTCAGCTTCACTCTTAGTAGCGGCAGCTCGATTCTGATTGGCTTGAAGGGCGGTCGTGTGATTTAAAAAAATATATTATATATATATATGAATAAGTAAAAAATATTAAAAGATTGGCATCAAAGGACACATAGATTGATAGATATGCAGTTATTAATAAAATCCAAAAAAAAAATGTAACTTAAAAAAAAAAAAAAAAATCCCCTTTCCCTCAAACTTTGCATGACCCCCTTGGCGCCCCCTGGCGGCCCCCCGGGGGGTCGGGGCCCCCACTTTGAAAAACACTGCTCGAGCTGATCGATCAGCTGCCTGACAGTTTGACTCCCCCGTAGATACACTGTTGATGGGCAGGAACAGGGGTGGTCGTGCATCAATGAGTTATCACCAGTTTGTAATTAATTGATTGAGGTTCTGATGACCTTCCCCACTGGAGGCTGCTGAAATACTTATTGACTTATTGACGCGCAGGCTCCAGGAGAAAGCAGCAGACACCATCGAGTCACTGCACAAGGCTGGGATGAAGGTTTGGGTCCTGACAGGCGACAAGATGGAGACGGCGGCGGCTACATGCTACGCCAGCAAGCTGTTCCGCCGCAGCACCCAGATCCTGGAGCTGACCAAGAAACGCACGGAGGAGCAGAGTCTGCACGACGTCCTGTTCGAGCTAAACAGGACTGTTCTCAGACAACGCTCTATTTCTGGGTAAGTAATAAAGCATGTTTATATATCTACAGAGCTGTTTTTCTACTTTTTGAACATTTAAAAACATTGGAATGTTGTAAAACATATCCATCACAAATGTAAGGCTTTGACAATGCTTAAATGACTTGGTCATGTTAACAGTCTTAAACCCAAAGGTATTCAATTTACAAAAAACAAGAAAAAAAACATTTAAGAAACTGGAAACATCCAACTTTCTAACCACAACCGTAAGAAATTAATAATGTGCATACACTTATCACATAATCACAAATCATATTTCCTTTAACACCTGGACAAAACAGGGGAATATCTGCAGATGGATCTATGATGTGTTGTGTGAAAAATCTCCCTGTTGTTCAGCCTGTGATATTCTCTCCCAGGTTGTCAATGGACTGCCTGGACTTCGGTCTGATCATCGACGGGGCCACGCTGTCTGCAATCCTGAAGGCGAACCAGGAGGGCGCCGGCTGTGGAAACTACAAAGAGATCTTTCTGGAGATCTCTCGCAACTGTAGCGCCGTGCTCTGCTGCCGCATGGCGCCGCTGCAGAAAGCCCAGGTGAGAGCGCTGCACTTCAGTATACAAATATCACCTAAATGAAAAACAGTGGTAATGACTGAAGTTTTTTCCTCAGATTGTGAAGCTAATTAAAGCTTCCAAGGAGCATCCCATAACCCTCGCTATTGGAGATGGTGCCAACGATGTCAGCATGATCCTGGAAGCACATGTGGGCATCGGTGAGCTCATTTTAACACTGTTCTAAGGAGTGCTGCTTCTATTAGAGAGCAAGATGATTTCTATTTTCTATTTATGTTTTTTGACACACACAAACATTATGCATCTCATTAAAGATTTGTTTTTACTCATTTCATTGGAACAGTAAAACTTTAATAATTATAATTAGTATACTTAAACATAATTCAGTTAATAAAACATGTATACAATAGATATATGGTTGGATGTTCTGCTTGTGTACTGAAAACAATCACATATTTGTTTATTTTGGCCTATATTTAGTTGGGTTTTGGGCGGTTAGTTGGGATCTCTTCTCTATTTTTAGAAAATGCCTAAGTTAGATTCCTGCTCATATTCTATGTTGTTTTTTATGTAACCACCCTCCTTTTTTCCTCAAGGCATCATGGGTAAAGAAGGCCGACAGGCGGCGAGGAACAGTGACTACGCCATCCCGAAGTTCAAACACCTGAAGAAGATGCTGCTTGTTCACGGCCACTACTACTACATCCGGATTGCAGAGCTCGTTCAGTACTTCTTCTACAAGGTACGCGCTCCACACCGGCTCTCACACTTTAATCACTTTATCGTAATTCCCAGTGAGACACTGAGTTACAAAGAGCCAGATTTTGCAGCTACTCTGACAGATTACTGGATTCATGAATCCCCGGTGTGACGTTCTCTCCTGGATCCACGGCTGTGATGATCGTGTGGGCGGCGGCTTCACAGCGAGCAGCGCTCTGCCAACTGATTCATTTTTTCTTTGGCAGGCCGGCTCTCTGCGGCCCACTCAGTCAGCTTATAGCACACAATCTCTGCAGAAACAGAAATGTGTAGATACTAGCATTTTTAGATTCTTTAAATCTCCTCACGTGTACTTGTCACAAGCTTATCACTCTCTCTGTGTGTTGTTGTTTTTCCCTCTTCTTAAATCTTTCCAGAATGTATGCTTCATCTTCCCTCAGTTCCTCTACCAGTTCTTCTGTGGGTTCTCCCAGCAGGTAAGTACTTTAGTTAGGGCTACACTCAGTGTCATGATTTAAACTAGTTTCACACAGAAATGAATGCTTTTTAAATGTGAACTTTTAAAGCTGCAATAATTAGTGTCGCTTGTTGAAAAACCTACAGAGAATTATCACCCTACTCTGCAGTTCCCTGACGGCTTTACTAAATATTTTCCTCTTCTTTCTTTTGATTTTACGGCCCACAAACTCCATTCTCATCAGCTCAGTTCAGTTTATTCACCAAACCGACATAATCGAGACATGTGCCCCCTAATAAGCTTTCTAAAATGTGAGCATTTGGGCCCAGAAATCAAAAAGTTAGTATTTAAAAAGTTATGTTTAATAAGACATTACGTAGATTTTAGTGCATTTACAGTAACACTTACGGCCCGTCCACACAGCGGCGTGCATTGAAGCTTGCCGGAAGGCGTGTCTGAAACTCGACCAACAACCAATCACATGAATCTCCCGCCCCTGACACACAAGCAGCGGTTTGATTGGCTAGAGCTTGTACTGGCATATGGTTCAATTGGCTGACGCTTCTGCCGAGGCTTCAAAAGTTTAACATTGCTCAACTTTTGCAGCGAGCCACGCCAGCAACGCTCCGCGTCAATTCCCACAATGCAGTTCGGCGAAAAGTGACGTCACCCCATTCAAAGTGAATGGTGAAGCTTTCAACGCACGCCGCTGTGTGGACGGGCCGTTACAACCTACACTACAAAGCCCCTAAGACCAACCAGAGACCACAAGTTAATGGTCCCAGGAATCAATGTAGAATGGCATTGATAAGAGGATCTGATAGATCGATTAAATCTCAACAATTAAAAAAAGCGTATTCTGAAACCCTCCTTTAGTTCCAGATGTCTGATACCGCCTGTATTCCTGTATTTATTTTAATGATTATATGGTCTTCCTCCTCCACAGCCTCTGTACGACACGGCGTATTTGACGTTGTACAACATCAGCTTCACCTCGCTCCCCATCCTCCTCTACAGCCTGGTGGAGCAACACGTCACCATGGATACGCTAAAGAGGGACCCCTCCTTGTACAGGTCGGCATAAAAAAAGCCACTATGTATACTTTTTCTGTAACTTTTCTGAGGTTTTTTGCATTTGCTCATCCGTTCTTTTTCCTGCCTGTGTTTTCTTTAGGGACATAGCGAAGAACTCGCTCCTCCGATGGCCCGTCTTCCTCTACTGGACGTGCCTGGGTCTGTTTGACGCTGTTATCTTCTTCTTTGGTGCCTACTTCCTGTTTGACAACACCACCTTTACTAGCAACGGCCAGGTGAGCCTCTCTCTCCATGTCAACAGAGGCAGTGAGATATATCATTTAGTGGAAACGAGTAGAAAACACAGTCATGAGTTATTTTGGCACTTTGTGGGGTGTTCCAGGGAAATTAAAAGAGAATAATGGACACAAAGTCAGTGCTTCATCCATCTCCATTGGATTGTCATGACAGAGGAGTTAAGTGTTGCAAGATGACTCGTGTTTTTTGTTTATTGTGGATAGGGCTGCTCAATTAATCGTATTTTAATCGCAATTACGATTTTGGCTTGCAACGATTATGAAAACAGCATAATCGAAATAAAACGATTTTTTTTTTTTTTTTTTTTTTAAAACATTTATTTTTTTATTGGTTTTTCAATTGAAATTATACTTTAAAGTTCAGGGTAATCAACTGTTAAAAACATACTACACATTTATTTTTTCAATAAATGTAAGTTTTCAAAGTAAATGGATAATCGTTTTTAATAATCGTGATATCAATTATTGACCCAAATAATCGAGATTATGATTTTTGCCATAATCAAGCAGCCCTAATTGTGGATGTGTAACAGTAAGGTTTCTGTCCCAGGCCCATCTGTAGGTCAGCAACATTGGATCTCCATTCATATCGACTACGCAATAGCATCTGTCTCTGTATTGTTAATTTGTATCATGTCAACTGTTTTTTGATTGCCTTTGGTCCTGTTTTTTAAGTTGATTCTCTTTTCTTCCCCCCTCCTTCTCTCTGCTTCCTCTCTCTTTATTTTGCTTCTTCTCTTTACTCTTCTTCTTCTACCTGTTCTTCTTCCTCCTCAGCTTATGACCACCAACACACAGATGGTAAGCCTGTCTCCCTCCCTGTCAGCTCTCTCTGTCTTTCACGCTTTTCTAGTTCCTGTCGTACTGTTTAAGCTTTCAGTTTGACCGTTTCATCCAATTTCATCCCTTCTCACTTCGCATCATCCATGCACTTTCATTTGAATGTGTAGTTTTCTAGTGCTCCATTATTCCCCTAATCTCTGTAAAGCCCTGAATCCTACACAGTACCTGATCTTAACAACCTCCACTGACATAGTAGAAACCTTAGATGCTCCCCCACGTTTTCCTTGTGTTTCCTTGTGATAGCAAATGTGCTGTAGATCAAGATCCTACATCTGTTTGTTGTTCTGTGTTTGTTTGTATGTCCATGTATTTGTGATTTGGGGTTTATTTAAATCACTGCTCAATCATCCAGGGCTTGGCTGCACTTTTCATTCGGTACTATTTGTGTCTACGGGTGACAAACAAACCATAATAAAGCAGCTTTAAAAACGGAAATTCTCAGAAATGGATTAATGAATGAAGGAGTTTTCTAGCGAATATAGGTACCAACAAACAGCTGTGGTTATTACATAAATTCCCAGCTTTCTCCGTCTTGATCTCTCTCCCCCGCCTTTCATTTCCTCCCTCTCAATGCTCATCCCATCTGCTCGCTCCGGATGTCTGCTTAAACCTTTTCTAGGATTTCAGCAGGTAGATTTAGATGCAAAGACGTGAAGTGAAAATACTCTCAGTATTTTGGCACAGAAGCTTAAAGGTGGGGTAGGTCATTTTGGAGAAACCAGCTCGAGTGCGCTAGAATTTGAAAATACACAACCGGAACAAATCTGCCACTTCCTTACAGAGCCCCTCCTCCAACACATTGGAACGCGCACATGACCAATGAGGGCACGAGATAAGTTTGTGCACAGATGGAAGGCTGACAGGCAGGTAGGCCATCCAGTTACTTTAGCCGGGCCGGCTCAGATGATTGGTCGTGCTTTTTACAGGCTTCCACAGATGACATTTTTTTAATGGATTTTTTGTCAAAGCACTTCAGATATTCATTGCTATCGGATGTTAAGAGCATTCCATGGAATATAGCAAAAAGTGTATCTCGAGCCGGTTTCTCAAACTTACCTACCCCACCTTTAAAAGAGTACCCTTTCTAAAACATCACCTCTCACTGGTTTGTGCTCATATATGCACTGTAAATTGAAAATATAGGAGGTTCACTAATCCATGGATGCAGGGTGATTGGGATGTTGTATTGATGTGGCCGCTAACCAGCTTCTTCCTCTTTTCCCTCGCAGATGTTTGGGAACTGGACCTTTGGGACCCTGGTCTTTACTGTGCTGGTGTTCACCGTAACGCTCAAGGTGGGTTTCTAGGAAATACATTTTTATGGAAAGAGAAACTCCATTAAATTGCATAATCCCTCCATTTAATAGAGTTATTCTCCATTGCATATGTGCGTCATCGTATGCGAGAAAAAGCTTGCGGCACAGATGTTAACTAGCATGTTACGTCAATGATGGACTCCAGTTTGCACGGCAGTAAACCCCGAAGGCAGAGTTATTGACTCCATTGACGTGTCGAGTGTTTATTATGTGTGTATTCTGTTTTTTTCAGCTTGCCTTGGACACACACCACTGGACCTGGATCAATCACTTTGTCGTCTGGGGGTCGCTACTTTTCTACGTTATTTTCTCTCTTCTGTGGGGAGGAATCATTTGGTATAACAATCTTCGTTTTTTCCCCAAGCATACATCATCTTAATTGTAATTAGGACATTTCTAAAAACCCGTTTGTGTCCTTCTGGTTGCTGCGCAGGCCCTTCCTGAACTACCAGAGGATGTACTACGTGTTCATGCAGATGCTGTCCAGCGGCCCGGCCTGGCTCAGCATCATCCTGCTCATCACGGTCAGCCTGCTGCCAGATGTCATAAAGAAAGTCCTCTGCAGGGCCTTGTGTCCCACAGCCATCGAACGCGCACAGGTAAGATCTTTGCACCAACACCACAGTGAAAGGGAAGCTTTCAATTGTTCCCATGTTAGGTTTCCCTTTAGAGGCTTCTGCTTTGCTAAAATCATTAACCAATTAATACATTTTTAGGAACGTTAAAGTGTGCCTTTTAGCGTAATTACAGTGTACAACATGACCTGATATAGTAGGTAGAATAATCTCCTATGCTAGCTGATGCATAATATGTGGACTTTAGGAGACCGTATGAGTAAGCTGCAAACCTTTCACACTCAATTAATCATCCAGAAAGACCATTAGGATCCCTAATAGCTTCGAGCAACAGCGTGATTTAGAATGACTTCCTGTTCCCCATGGCTTAGCCTCACCTTCCTGTGAAGAAAGCTTCATGGAGAAATGAATGAAAGGTCTGACAGATTTCTCCCTGCTGTGCTTTTTCTTCTCTTTTCTCCCCTTCTCACTGCAACCTGATGGACCACAAATCACACCATCCTGCATCGCTTCCCTCTCCCTTTCACTCACCTGCCTCATCCTGCTTATTTTTCCTCCCCCTTCATTACGTTTCCTCTCTTGTTTCCCCCACTGCTCCTGTGTGCCTGTGCCTCTGCACTCACCCTGCAGTCCTCTCGCCCGTGCCTTACCGTGGAGCCGTCCACCATCTTCATGCTTTCTCAGTCCTCCAGCAGAATGAGTTTCTGATTGGCCCAGAGAGACGAGAGAGGAGCAGGAAGAGGAGGTGACTCTCTCTTTTAAGCCCTCTGTATGCATGCTGGCATGTCCCAGTTTAAACCACTTATCACTGTCTCAACACCTGCTTAAAATGACACTAACTCCTAGCGCTGATAAAATACAGAGGGTTTGGTTTGTAAGGTTAGAATGTCTCCTGACCTTTATGAAGTTACATTTTCCATTATTATCAAGTTAGCTTTTTGTGATATATTTCCTGCCATGTTATTGTGTCTTTCTTATTGGTACCTTATTGTGTTTTTGTGTTATTATTTTGACATTAAGATTATTAAGATTTCTTGTCAGAAACAGAGTAAGTTAGACTTACTGTTGGATCTGCTGACATCATTTCACAGGTTTTAATTTATTTCTTTAGAAGTGTTGTTGTTGATCAATGTCGATTGACATTTAGTGTGGATACACTGACACATCTCTAATGTAAATGTAGCTTCAGTTTATCGGTTTAAGCTAACCAACCGCAACATATCGATATTATGATACTAAAAGCAACACCAATCTTTTTCTCTAGCTGCGTGGATGAGATAACCAAAAAACACTGGCCTTTAAATTAATATTTAAGCAACCTAACCCTCTTATTTTCATACAGTTTAAGTACATGAAAACTAATGAGAATTTAGTCTTTTTTGAGGAATCAGATTATATTGAACATTTCAGTCAATCCATCCAATCGAAAGTATTACTGTACCTGGTTTCTTTCTCCTGAGCACTTGTTACTTTTAACTCAAACTTGAGTCTTTCTGACTTTGCTCATTGTGTGCTGCTGCTTTAGTCCTGATATGAATTATTCCAGTCTATAATATTGTATTGCTGGTCAACAAAATAATGATTGTGGTCACTTTAATAGTTGTATGTACCTTTTAAGTCTGTTTTCTTCAAGAGTATGTTTCGATATAGTAGTTTGATATTGTGGCTGTCTCGTCTTAGTCATGGAAAATGTTGTGGAGCACCGTTAGTCATGAAATTAACGCTGCTTTAACGTCACCCACAGAAGGTTAGGACAGCAGGGGCCCTGGAGGTCTGTGCTGGTGGGGGGAGTGATGAGAGGAGCCCACTCCGCCCTGATAGGACCAGTGAGGGAGACAGTGGAGTTAAAGCTGCTAGGACCTATGACTCCATGATGTCACGCAGCCACGACACCCCTCTCAGCAAACCCTACAGTACACCCCTTTAGGTGGGCTAGGGTCACCATGGTAACAGCACACAGAGGGAGCCGGGTGTTAATGCTGCTGCCGTGATGCTTCCTGCTGCTCTGCTCTGCATGGGGCCTGCTGTACGACTGTGGCTGTTGGAGGGGGGGGGGCTTCCTGCATAACTGCATCAACATGAGAATTATTTTCTCTCCGTCAAACCTACTTTCAGGAAACACAATCTCCAATTCACTCTGCAGCGCTGGATGCAAAGTGTGCTCTGTGCTGCTCACTGCATGTGGGATGGGAATTAACTTGAGCAGCCAAATGAGAATTTGATCCTGGCTTGATCCTTTATTAGTCCCAGGCTACTTAAAGACCCATTGCCACCTGTCATGTGTGGACCGCAACAAGTGTGAGACTGTTGTGACTCCTCTTTGGTCCTGGACTGTAGCTTCAGTGATGAGAAAGTAAGTTAAAGCTCATACTGAAGGTTCTTGGTCAGAGGAGGTTTAGTTGTGATGTTTCAGGTGACTGTTTTAGAGGTTCAAACAGATGTGATTAGTATTTAGGTAGTTACTGAGGTGATGTTTAAGTCATTACTATTAACCTAATTAAGGTTGCCCAAGCAGCTTGTATCTGACAAGTATTTTCTTGTGTCAGGAAAACTGATGACATCTGGTGTCGAAAGATGGAATAGCAAGTTTGAATTTTGTCTTGATTTCATATGCATGTTTAATCTAACAAAACTACCAATCATAATGAACATTTTCAGAGGGTTTCTCATCATGGATCAGTCAATTATGTCCAGTTTTTACACTTAATTTATTTTCTTTTTTACTGTTCGTTCAGTAAATGTGTTTCAAGAGTCCATAACAGGGAGTCATTAATATTTTTTAACTAAGCATCTGGATATTAAGCTGCAACAATTAGTCTACTTATTGATTAATTGAGCACACAAAAATAATTGCCTACTATTTTGATAATGGATAGTTTATTTCAATAATTATTTTTGAGAAAAAAGGCAGTTTTCAGCCTCTTAAGAAGATTTCCTGGGTTTTTTCAGTCTTAAACTACATATCATTTGGAGTGACAAAACAAGTTATTAAAAGATACCTTGACATGTATTTAGAAAGTAATCTACAGTTCAAACAATAATTAAAGTAATGAAGTTGCAGTTGTATCTGGATGAATAAAACAAACCTTTTTAACATTTCTAAATTTAAGCCTGCTGTTAGATAGAAGATTGAGCCATCTCACATCTGTTGTTACTCATATTTTCTCTGATATAATCTGCATGAAGCAATTTTTTGATTTCCTTTTCCAATTATTCATGTGTTTTGAATTACCTTGTACTAACTTGTCCTCTATCTCTCTGCAGGATCATGAGAAGCTGTCGGTGGCTGTCGTGGCCGAGTCGACTCCACTGTCCTCTCGTCTGTCCTGCAAAGGCGCGAGCACAGACTCATCCCGCCTCCACCTGGCCGCTGCAGAGGTGCTGTCGCTGCGCAGGTCTGATCCCCTTCCCCAGAAACTACTGGTGCACTTGACAGAGGGTGGAGGGGCAGACCTGCGCCCTCTCAGCCCCTACATGCTCCGTCTATCAGGGGCGGGATTCGCCTACTACGCTCCAGGGCCGGAGACCTCTGTGTGAACCAGGCTCTGAAACTGTGTGTGTGTGGATCTGATGGGCTGAAACGTAGCAGGATGTGCGACCAAGGTCTGTGTCTCAAGGAGCGAGGATTTATCGAGCAAAACATAAACATGTTCACACACACGTCAACCTCCATGCTGAGTTCACCATGTGCATTTTCTGGGCTACACCTGAGTGAACAACCCTTTATATATTACAGCCCTGACGCCTCATCTTCATACTTTGTTAATTATTTTTTTATTCAGTGTCATCCCCAAGTCGCATCAAAGTTCCTACCCAAAATCTTACTTGAAAAAGTCTAAGAACAAAAGGGGAACTTGTGCAGAGGTGCATTGTTTCATGCACCAAGGAACTGTCCTGTTTTAACATGTCAACAGGCCTTTTTATATTCCTCGTTCTTATTTTCAGTTCTTGCCTGTTCCTCCACTTTTGTGTCCTTTTTGCTTCTTTGTGAATGTTTGTTTAAAAACATATGTACAGTAGTCTGGCCAAGTTAGGGGCAGCCGTCAAGCTCAGCCCTTTAGGTGTGCGTGAGTGTGCATGTGCGCGAGTGTATGCATGATATTTGCCTGTTACCGTATGTTTGTATGTGACACACCTTTGCCTTACAGGTAGCCACACAGCAGCAGGCTAGGAGCCAAAGGAGAAAGGTTTTTAAAAAACAAGTGGTGTATTACAGAGCCTTACACACACACACACACACACACACACACACACACACACACACACACACACACACACACACACACACACACACACACACACACACACACACACACACACATCAGCTAAAGGGAGAGAAACTGGGAAAAATCTGAAGAGGGATGTGCAGTAGTCTCGCCGCCCTGCCTTAATTCATACATTTTTTCGTGGATTATATTTCTAGTTTGTTTTGTGAGTGGACGGGATTTAGAGGGCATACATGTCTGGTACAGTGTGTCCGTTATTGTTTTTCTTTTTCTCTCACAATTGTGTCCACTTTCTTATCTACCAGTGTAGCATGTCGGATCTCCCTGCTGCATGCTGATCTGCTCTTCTTCTTCATCTTCTTCTTCTCTGTTTTTCCTTTATCTTCCTTCGTCCCAAACATTCATCATAAACCATATCTCAACATTCTTTTCTTTCTCCCAAGAATGAGCACACTGTACCCACTCCTGCCCTCATGTGGCCGTTAAGGGTAACAACAGCAGCCCAATACTTTATTTATGGATGTCTATTCCTCTATGTTGCATTGTGCTTGTGTGTTTGCTGCCATGCTATTTGTTAAGAAAAATGTACTGTAAGAATGCTAATGTCATGTTGTCACCTTATATGGGTTTTATCTCTGTGTTGCATTATCCATGAGGTTTTTTTTCTATATTCTAAAATTATTGATGGTGGTCACTGTTGATGTATGGATATTATAGTGAGATAAGGTGTTATATTAGACTGTTGTGAGTAGGAGGGAGACTTGAATTGGCGATGTCACAATCAAATCACTAGAATGTCGAACTGATTTATCCATCATGTCCTCCAGCTGACGATTGTAGCTCATAATGGATGAACCCCTTTTCTGCATTTCTAACATCCTCTAAAGTCCTCTTTGTCCAAAGCATATCTGTCGTAGCACAGCAAGTGACGGACTCGGGAAGTCTTGAATGTCAGATTACGAAGCATTTTTGTATGTTTATACAGTTTATTTTCATACACATCACCATCTGCCAACATGTATAGATTTAAAAAAGAATTGTTCAGTATTTTTTTACTGGGGCACAGATAATATATCAGTTTGATTGGAGGTCTGGATTTGTCTCAGTTTTTTATTTAAAGCCCACAAGCCTCTACAAGTGTTTGAACTTGGGGGGGCTCAACGTCCTGACCTCAGTAGATTATTAGAAGGGCCTTGGTGCTTGTTATGCAGTGTCCCACCTCACTGTGCTGTTGCCATACTGTTACAGACGTGTTCTACATGTCACACATACCAATCGTACCACTATAGCTACAGTATAAGGTCTATATTACTTTATTTTATTTAATGGGGAATTCTTTGGAGTCATTCTTTAAACACAGTTTATCTGAGTCCTCCACAGCTCAGTTTTCTCTTCTACTTGTCATTTTTGTTTTGTCCATTGTGAATATTTATTTTGTTACTTTTGTATCCCAGAGAGAAGACTATATTTGAACTCTGTTAGAATGTGTGTTCAAACCAAAATTAGAGCAACATATACGTTATATGATTCATTAGAGATTTACTTATAGGTCTACACACTGCACTTTCTACAACAGATCAGTTTCTCCCTAAAAAAGGTCTATTATCTGTGGACTGGGATAAGTGTTCACTCTTCCTCACAAGTTATTTTTCTAAGAAGAATGTAGTGGGTGAGAAAAAAAAGTGACCAAATAACTTGACTAGGAACGGACTGTCTGTAGCCTCTGTCTCAAATGGGTTTTATCGCACCAGCCTTTTACTGCTGATCAGAATGTCAAACTGCTTTTTCTAAGTCCATCAGCAGGTGCTCATCTCGTCACTCCTGAGCTTGGAAAATGTCTGAAATGTTGACGTATGTGCTCTGAGCAGCACGCCTCATAGCATACCTTCAGTACAGCACTGTTTGTATTACTAAACAGGTTTTGAGAATTTACTTATTTTTTTGGATAAAGATATTAAAAGTTCACCTGTTCACTTTTTGCCAGCCTGTCTGTAGCACACGAAGGCAAAGCACTGTATTGTCATTATGCTTGTAATAAAGAAAGATTGAAAACACTTCTCCTTGTTAATGTTCTAGTGTATAGGCCTAATTATTGTCATATTCTGTATTCTTTCAGACACAACAGATGGGATGAGATATGATTTTATCATGGATCACAACAAATATCTCACAATAAATTGGTCGTTGGGAATTTCCTGTAACTGGATAATATCTTCACATAAGTGATTTGTTAGAAAGAACAGACTGTCACAGTTATGCATTTGTATTTATTTATGTATGCACAAGGGACCTTATGATTTAACATTACCATATTATTCATTTTGTTGTTGTTGTTAAATGTATGTTAAAAATATATTCTATTTGGAATGCAGTACAAATATGTGTTTCTTAAAATGTAATGTAAGCAAAGCAGACAGGTATACCGGAAGTAAAATTTAACATTTCAAAATGAAAGTCAAGAGGATAGAATGGTCAATTTGGGAAACCATTGTTCTGACAAATATATGCACAAATATATTTATAAAGAGATGAATTAAAGTGTCCCTCTCTTCAGACTTCCGGTTTCCAACATGTCGGTAATGAGAGTTTCTAGAATGTTGCCTTTTAGACGAAGGCCTGACAATAATCTCAACAAAAATGTCAATTTACCTTTACACCAGCTCCCACCAGAAAAGGGGATACATCTTTCAGGTTACGCATTTACTGGTTGAGAAAATACTATTTTGATGTAGCTCACGCAACGCAATGTTTGGCAACATTTTATGGTTGTGTTATTTGGTTACATTCCTTTCGCCATATTGGCAAACGGTCAATTGCTTAGCCTGCGAGATCTAGCTAATGCTAACTAACTCATAGTTAATACACTTCCTTCGATTATATTTCTTGTTATAAAACAACGTTTTAATAAGCTAGAAATAATGCCAGAAGTGGAGTATGTGATGCTATCCCAACACACTTTTGGTACACTTTAGTGACTCTCCTCACCATTTGATAGCTTTCCATTTAAATTCAGATTTTATGGGGGTTGCCTCTTTGTTGAAAATGGTGCTTTACTCTCTTCGTGTGTCTGTATTGTGTAGGTGTTGTGTAGGTGTGAGAGTTTGTTGTGTGCTGTGAATTTTTGGCAAAAACATTAATTAAAAATATTTTTGAAATACTAGCGTTTGGACTGAGTGCTGACTGGGACAGTTACAGCAACAGACAGTGCTGATTTGTTTTTATACAGATTACATTTTCATATATTCCTATGGAAATTGCAGACGGTTAGTAATTATGTGGATTGTCTGTTCAGCTGTGTTGTGCTGGCACTGATTCTGATATTTTTTATAAATGCTATGATAATCACAAACCAAAAACCAATAATATAGGCTATAGATAACCTGCAATAATACAATAAATGTGTTTTGTAAACAATACAATCTTATCAAGTTTCATTTACTACTGTCATTTGTTCGGGCAAATAGCTTAGCAACTATATAACATCTGGTACTTTTATACCTTATATCCTTAACAGTGCCCTTTTAGGTTGACACATCCACCAGAATGTGTTAGTCTGTGTAAAGTGGTGTAATTTAGCAAAAACCTTAATAATATAATGTAAACCTTAAAAGTGATACCCAAAAGAGCTTGAACCTTCATTCAGTGAAAAATAAACAGTCATTGCAGTTTAGTAAAAATGCATCATGTATTTGGCCTTTTGGGAAGTTACCCAGCTGTAATGACCAAGTGTTGTCACATGGTGGCAACGCAGCACCAGCAATTGTACATGACTAGCAGCACTGTATATTTCTACAGAAGTAAATGTTCCATCCACACATGCCTTGTCTCCACACTGAGTGTCGCTATTGGATCAGCTATGTGTGTGAAACTGCATCGATGACCTTCACTTCCCCTCCCCCTCTGTGTCTACCAGGTCTGTACAGGTTCGCACCATCATGTGTGCTGACGCTGAGGCATGCATGTTCCCCCTGCTCCTCCTCCTCCCCATCTCCATCACCGGCGTCCTGAGCTCTGCATCCCTCTGCTGAGGACTCGTCACTGCAGCCGGGGCTGTGACGGCAGCTTCAGCATCATCATCCCCTCATCCGTCTCTGATGCATCCTCGAAAGCATCCTTTTCTCACATGCATCCCAGCACCTCTGAGCTGCACACACCCCCCTCTCTCGCACATCTCTCTCCTCCAGCATCCGTGTGTTGCAAAAGGCAACCAGGCAGTTAAATCCCGGGCTAGATTACCCTGGAGCATCCCCCTCTTCCCTTCTGCTCGCTGGGCTTGCCATCGCAACAGTCTCCCCTCTCCCTTCCTCTTCAGCATCATCCGCTCTCCTCTTCACCATTCAGTGAAAAAAGCAGGCAAGCTGTCTCTTTTTCCTACAAATGTGTCCATTGGCTGGGCAGCTGGGTTACCGCTGTCCCTTTGGAGGATGATCCTGTGGATGAAGTCAGAAGAGATGGTCGTTGGGGAGCTGCTGGAGAGACTGAGGACTGTCACTCGGAGCATAGGTGGGTGACAACACACTCAACACCAACTATAGTCATTTATTCTTGATTGCAGACATTGATATCAAGCAGATACAGCTGAAATCATAATGTGGATTCAGCTACAATAAGAGATGACATTGTATCTCTTTTTTTGATTGATTTTAGGCCAAATAAAGGGTGAAGCATGGGTTTGTAAAGGAAAATGCTGGATCATCGTGTCAATTAGCAAAACATTTTGTGTCTCTGCTGTTCATGCTGTGTCTGCCTCAAGCTAGGGGGGCGTTTGGCCTTAAGCTGTGTGTTTGTCGCATGTTATGATTGAACAGTTTATGTCTGCAAGGAAAATGTGATATTGAGTCGTATAATATAAATTAATAATAACACAAATTATTTGTAACGCTGCCAGATTCAAAATGTTTGATTGCATTGAATCTGATGTGTAATCTGAGGATGACAGCCAGATGTACCAACACACAGGCTGCAGACAGGATGATTTGTGTTGTGATACTCATGGGCCTCATGGATACTCTTCCTCATTACTCCACCCATCAGTTATCCCATCACATTTCCCTACTGTAACCCTTGACTGTTACTTAGCGTGTACACGCCACTCCAGGTTGTCACATCACCTCTTAAATGTTGCTGTCAGGGCCTTGCTATTGCGTTTTTTGCAAAGCTCATGTGTGTGTGTGTTCCTGTGCTTTCATATTCTCTCTGAGCGGTCAAAGTGGCTTCAGGAAAACATTTTAGGCTTTTTTTATATCTGACTGCAGTACAAATTCATTACGCAGTCATGTAAGAAGAAAGCTTTTTCTGACCCTGACACTAGAACCCATTTCCAGACTGCAGATATGATGTCCCGACGTTTCTCCTGCAGCTTCGTGATTTAACAGATTTTTCTCCTTTACCAAACTTAGATTAGTAATTGAGTGATAGGAGTCATATCGCTGGTGTTTATAGAAATCTCATTTAATCCACTCACTGCCTGCACACAACTACATTTAACAAGCATGCATGTGCACACACAAACACACACATACACCTTGACCTTGTTTCATTGGATATCGGTGATGGTGGTTGCATTGAGAGAACACACAGCTGCTCATGTATTGCCATGTGACATTGTAGTTTGCATCTCATTATTTATTTTCTGTATTTGTAGCAACTGTATGGAGAGAGAAGAGGAAAAAGGTCTTTAATAGGCTCATACTGTCAACGACTGCCCATTTAACTTCTGCATATATTTGTTATGTCGATGATGGCGAGGCTCATGCTGCAATCATAAATTCAGCACAGTGGACTCCAGTTGCCTCTCCTTCTTCACCAGATAGTGAAAGTATGGCTGCAGTGAGTGGGTGGAGAAGGTTATGACCATGCCAAAGCAAGAGGAATACAGATATGAATGATAATTCTTAGCTGAATCTCAAGCATGATTTAAAAAGTTCATATTTTTCACTTTACATGTACAGGAATGAAGTGCCTGGCATTATACTTTATATTTTCAGACATTGCAATCAGTGGCAGCTATGCGTTTGAGAGGAAATGTGAGGAGAATGTGCTGCGACAGGAGGACGAGAGCAGCAATCGGCTCAGAGTAGAGACTTAATCATAGTAGACAGCAAAGAGGAAGGGAGAGTGAGGAAAAGAGATATTCAGGGAAACAAAGTTAACTGAGGATGAACATAATTTAGCTTTGACTAATATGACAAACTGCTTCTCCTGAGCTGAAAAAGAGGTGTTGTGTTGTAAACTGGAGGAAACAGAAAATCCTTGCTGTTTTTATTTTCCCCAGAGAATACTTGCTCCTGGTTTCAGACTGGCAGTGATGTGCTATAAACATAACTGTACATGCAATATCCTCAAACTGATATAAAATCGGCAAGATCTATTTCTATCCCACACTGTAGCTGACTGTATCCTCTTTTTTGGTGAATATTGTACATGGCAGCGATCAAAACCATCCATCTATCAGTGAGGTCATCTGTCAGCAGTGAGTGGGCAGAACTGTGAAGTAGGGCTGAACGATTAATCGATTTTAAATCGAAATCGCGATTTGAAATGATGCGATTATCAAATCGCAAAGCCTGCTACAATTTTTTTTTTCTTCTTGTGTGTCAGTCATCCACACCAATCAGAAGTGCTGTGCTCCACATGTACCAGCCATTGTTAACCAATCAGAAGTAGCCCATGATAGAAGGTGATAGACGGATTGATCCAATCACCTGCCAAGTATTTTTGCAAGTGCCCGCCCTTTCCAAATGGCTTCCAATGGAGCTTGAGATGGTTTGGTGAAACAAACCATCTGGGTCAGGTTAGTAATGCTCCATCACATGTTTCTATTACAGGGTGAATCTTAAACTGAAGCTTGACTTTAAAGCAACCCAACGGAAGTTTCATGTAAGTTTAGTTTTTTCACTCGTAGCTCGGGCTGCGGGGTGCTAGAGACGGGAGCATGTTGATACGACCTTCCTAGCCGGAGTTATGGCCGCATTTTACAATAAACTTCCGTTGGGTCGCTTAAAAACAAATATCGCAAATCGCAATCGCAATATTTGTCAGAAAAATCGCAATTCG